GCGAAGTTGTTGTATGCCCACGGATACATTGTTGCAAAGAGACCGAGTGCTCGTCAAGACGTTGCTTTGTTGCACGGGTCCCCACGGACGGCGCCAAAATGATACTGCTAATTATACGTAAGCAATATGAAATAACTCGAGACCAATTAAAGCAAGTAAATGTCTTTATTGATCACGGTAGAGGCCCTAAGTACAATCTACTTGGTTGCTCTGAGTACCGACTGACTGCGGTCGGGATTCTCTAACAACAACCTATCGATCGTCCAAAAGTCCCCTACACTGTGGCTACTGTGGGTATTTATAGCCGCCATGCCGGAGACAAGAATCCGGTCGTTCGGCATGTTCTCCACGTAGCCTCCACGTGTCATCCTCCCGGGTGCCCTGCCTGTCGTCGTAGAGAGCCGCCACGTGTCCTTTATCAGCTCTCTCGCCAAAGGGCTACCGCTCGGTGGTCGACACTGCCGCTCGGGCACCTCCCGGTCGGACACCGACCGGGTTCTCTACAAGGAGCCCGACCTGTTACCTGCAAAGACAAAGAGAAAAAGACGAAGGTACCTCGGTCGTGGTGAAGCCATGTCGGTCGGGATATTCCCTACCACTGTGCATTATGTTAAGTGTTTATATGTGTCCTCAGCTATATAATACACAGAATTCATGTTCTTTATATCGTGTTTATGTGTGTATATTATGAACGTGAATTCTGTGTATTGAATCAAGATCCACGGTACACTGTAAACCCTGGTCCACGATATAACAATGGATATCTTTGTATATCCTCCTCTCATGGTGGAACATAAAATAGCGATAAGTGATGAGGGCAATTAGAATACTTTGAACCATTACTTAAAAAAATGTGAATAATGAAATATCAAGCACCATGCCCTTTTCAAATAACATTAATTCCCGGCCACAAACAACTTCATATATAATGGAATTTGAGGTTAACTATGTTGGACTGTCAGAACCTACATTTAGATGAATTTTGCTATCTTTGTTCTCCTCTTCTGGTTGAGCCAAAAATATCATTGAGTGTGTCAGCATATTCTCGGTTGAGCCCCTCAGCTCGCACATGAATTTCTTAGTGCAGTTTATCTCGATCTCAGTTGTAATGTGTAGACTATTACACATGAATAGATCGAATTTACTCAATATATACTCTTAGATAGTGATTGTAGTTTTCTCTCTCCTCATCTAAAAAAGAAATATCATTAAGTAGCAACAAAAAATTAATACACTTTAAAACATGATTTAAAAAAGGTATTTAATTATAACAAAAATTTGAAACACTACGCACTTTCCAAACAACATTAGCTCTCACAATAAACAACAATCATTATTGTGTTGACCATGATCCATACAGCTGTGTGGACTATACTATCAAATAAATATTTTTAGTATATTAAAAATGTACATTGTATTCAAAAAAAGTACATTATTTTGTATAATGTACATCCAATACACGAATAATGTATTTTTAATATATTAAAAATGTAGTTTTTGTTATGGTCCATACGAGACTGTGGACCAAATAATTTGCCTGCAAACAACTCCCAGCCCCTACATGGCTACATAACAAAACGTATAATAAATAAGGTAGCTAGGTTAACTAGGTTGGACCATTATATTGATTGAGTTTTAGTATCCTTATCCTCCTCAGCTCTAACAAATTAAAACCTACCAAGACCAGCTAAGGAACTGCATGCACCTGTCAAACAGCAACTACTTGCCCTACAACATTTATTATTTTTAGCTCCAAATGGGCTATAGTACAAGGGGCAGTTATATTCTTGCATGCTCCACTGTTTTTTTTTTTTTTTTTTTTAAAAAAAAAAAAAAAATTAAGATGTGAGGTTAATTTTGTTGATACTGTAGATAGTGATCTCTCGATATACAATATTCGCATGCACCAAACTCCAACTAATCTAAAGTTAAGATACTATTGGACAATTAGACCACCCCACAAGAAGTGATTGAGTGGATGAAACATTACTCTTGTATCTAAAAGTTAAGAGTTTGATTTTTGCCAATATCTCCTAAATAGCTGTTAGGTGATTGGGTGCATTAGCTGATTGTAGAAAGATGTTTCTTTTTGAATTTTAGCGTTTTGGAGCAATAAACTATTACAAAAATCTAATTAATCAAACAATTATATTGGCTCTTTACCCAAATCAAACAGTTAATAGTGATCAAATAAGCCAAAATTGATTGATAAGCTAACTAGGTTACTAAACAAGGCCATAATTATTTACGTGAGTATTATTGATCATCAAATTTTTCATAAGGTGGATATTGTTGGACGGTTGGACCTATTTAGTCACTCAATTATTTACACGAGTATTATTGATAATCAAGTTAAATTCTTAGGAAATTTCTTTTAAGGAAAAATAATCACTCGATTATTTAGGTCAATATTATTGATCATCAATTTTTTTTTAAGGCGATGGTTTTGGTGTCTCATCAACAAAGACTCTTAAGCATGTCACATTAGTAATTCTAAACCGTTAAAGTCTTGTTAATAGGTTAAATAATCGATCAAAACCGTCAAACTGTTATTTCGTGATAAAATTAATAACCAAAACCTCATCCGATCCTCATAAACTTTTGAACGGTCCATAAAATATGCTCACGTCAATAATCGAGAAATTAAAATCGTTATTTTTTTCAAAGACATATCAATTAACTTTCTTGATCCTATCGCCTAGATATGCCATTTCTTCTAAGAGTGGTTAACCTACTCTTTTTGTAATGTACACCAATCAAACCATCCACCCCAACCCCCACACCTGAGCTTCCATAAATAAATATAGTGACAATATAATGTGCCATCCACACCTCTGCTACATTATATGGACAGTTAGTGTGTCAACCTCTAAGCCCTATATTAAGTATACCAATTAAGTTTTGTTTTAAATGATTTACTTTTTTTTTCAATGAATATCACATCAATTACCCATAACTTTTGACTTCATTTATAACTACCTACTATATATTTGAAAAAGGACTTCATCTCCTTAATGAATCATAAATGTTACAACTATTTATATTAATTATTCATAGTACTTATGTTCTCCAATTATTGACGTGAACATTTAGTAACCCTATGATTTTCCATAGATGGCACGTTTGGCCCCTTATTAACGGAGATGGTTAACCTCTGTCGTGTGTAGAGACTGTTAGTTAATATCAGAATAAAATTGTAACTTGCAATCATTAAAGTAACTATTAACAAGTTGAAGAATTCAAAATCGTCAAAATTACCACCTCAGGCCATCCACATCTTTGGATAATGCACAATTTTTAAGAAAAAAAGAGTCATGTTGGCGGAGAGAGAGGCAAGAGAGAAGATTGAGGTTTATCTGCAAGAGAAGGGATTATTGCAGAAAAGTGGGTCCCACTGAGAAAATATGCCAATGCGCCCAGCGGGCGCTCTAGCTAGGCGCGTCAGACACGCTGACAATGACCTTATTTTTTTTTTTAATCAGTTTTGTTTTTTTTTTCTCCCTCTCCCATATTCTCTTTGCTAATCACACTTACAAAAACTCTTCAAAAACCACAAAACATATCCACTATTATGGATGATCTCATAAAAAGAGGGACCAAAACTGTCACCTTGTAAAAATCAAATGGTCAATAATTGTGATACTTAAATTGTTATTTTGAATAAATACAAGGATCAAAAATACTATTTTTTAAAAATATGGATTCAAAATATTTAGTATTATAAATTGCAATATCCAATAAATTAGATATATGTGGATGGAGGACATTGTGGCAAAATTAACCAGTCTTCCATTCCCTCCAAAAAAAAAAAAAAAAAAAAAAGACAGAAAGATGAAAAAGAAAAAGAAACAAGTTTTGAACACTTTATTTTACAAAAGAAAATTGTAAAGCAAAGAAGAATATGGGGGTTGGGGGGCCACAAAGAATTTGATAATTGTCTTTCTCAATGTCCCCCTTTGGTGTCAATATTTTGGTAGAGTTGGGTCCCAAGAAAACAACACACTTGTCAATCTGTGAGCCAACAAGAACATTGTAGTAAATGCACATATATACATGCCCCAAAAATGTGTGTTCGAGTGAGTAAAGCATATATGATTCTTATTTTAGAAGGTTACGAGTTTGATTTTTGACAATATCCTTTCGCTCAAATCTATTGTATAAGATCTGAGTCTTTTAATATAGTTTATTATGTGGTTTCGATCTATTATATAAACAAGAACGATGTTTACCTAGTGTCCACTCTTAGAGTAAAAAAAATGTTATTGGATAATAAAAACAAATAGAGTAAAGAGTGAAAAATAAGTATAATGGCAATCCTAAGTTTTTATACTACTATATACACAAAATCAATATTTCACTTTTTGGTAGGTGTCTTTAAATTTATTTGATAAAGTAATAAAGCATCATAATTAGACACACTACTTTAGCAAGCACAATCTTTAATTTGGTAGATTAAAGTAAGGAATTCAAAAATATGCAAACTTAAAATAAAGAGAACATTTAGAATTACCCAAGCAAGCAATGAAAGAATTGTAAATTGAAAAATTCTTAAGGTATGTACTAATAATTAACACTGTGTTGATATATATATCCAATGAACAATTTGTCGGCCGAGGTCGAATCCCCAACCCTAAGGGTCCCTATACCTCGATCCGACAGAACATTTGGAAGGAGGTTGAATTTCCAACCCTAAGGGCCGGCCCTCTACACTTCGACCTGACAGAGCATTTGGAATTATGTAAATCACGGTGACTTGTCGGTGCACACGGGTGATTTGTCTATTTTGAGCATAATCCTCAATCCTCATACTGCCACCCCCGATATTCAAACATTGGTCTCTTCTCCCAAATACGGCCTACTGAACGATTGAGCTAAATTCATGTCATAATTATAATTATTCTCACTGTACAAGTGGATTTAATAATTATGGATATATTAGTACTAAACATGTTTTGTAACATCATCTGTCGAGTTTAATATATAGATTTGGTCTAGACCAGTTGACACAAAACCATAGTTTCATGGTCTCATTCACACACAATATAACTATAGAGACAGGAGATAATTAATAACCTATGAACAAATCTATAGCTTAATCATCATCAACATATTCACCCCTAAACAACCATAATTTAACACACAATCAAACACCCAGTCGTGTGTTTAATTTGCAGATTTTGGGACTCCGTCACATGATCATCTTTTAACTTTGTAGAAAAAAAAAAAATTGTTAAGGAATCTCAGGGAAGGTCTTCTTGGTCCTGGAACTCCTCCATATTCTGGTAGTTGTTCTCCATGAATCCATTGTTGTTGTTGTTGTTGTTGTCGAATCCTCCATTGTTGTTGAACTGGTTTCTTGAATTCTCGTATGGATGTCTGGCGTACTTCTCTGTGTTGACATCATAGTAATACCTCCCATTTTCCATGAATCTTGTGTCGCTCATCCCTTGCTGCTCAAACCTGTTTGCAGCGCCGCCGTTGTTGTAGTTGTAGCGGTTGCCGCCGCCGCCGCCGGTGGTGGTGGTGGGGAAGGTTTCTTCTCGGTTGTTGGTGTAGTAGTAGTTGTTGTTGTTGTCAGTGTTGAAGCCACTCTGCGTGAATTTATCTTCGGGAAAGTTTGATTCTTGGTGGTTGTTGTTGTAGTAGTTGTTGCCGGCGCCGCCGTTGTAACGGCGGTTGTCGGTGGTGAACTCGTTTTCCGTGAATCTTGTGTCGTCGGGGATGGTTGATTCTCTTGATCTGCCGCCGCCGTTGTGATAGTAGTACTGGCGGGTATCGGCGGCCATGAATCTTGTGTCGTCGGGCATTCTTGATTCTCCGGCGCCGTTGTAAAAACCCCGGCGGTTATCGGCGGCGGAGGTGGTGAACTCCTTGTCGTCCATGAACCTGGTGTCCTCGGGCATTCTCGATTCCCCGCCGCCGTTGTAGTACTCACCTCCGCCTCCGCCGGCGCCGGCGAACTCCTTGCCGCCGTTGTAGAACCGGCGGTTGTCGTTGTCGGCGGCGGCGGCCATGAACTTAGCGTCATCATTATTGTTGTCCTCCGGGACAGTTACATAGGCAACGGGGTTATAGTTCTTGGGAAGGTATTTCTTGTAAGGAACTTCCTCCGCCTCTGCATGGTTGTTGACGGCGGTGGCGGACGGAGGAAGCTGGCCGGATTCATGGCCGTAGAGGCCATAGCCGCTGGTTTCATTCTCCGGGATGAAATTTGGTTCTTTCTGCAGAGGAACCACAGTTGCAGATTGCTCTTTGCTGCTGCTATTGTTGTTGTTGTTGCTAGGGATTTTGTTGAAGAATTGGCTGTCTCTTGCTTGAAGAATTTGCAGGGAGGATAAGAGAGTGAGGAGGAAGAAGATGAAGATTTGGTTGGGGGAAGCCATGGAAGGAGGAGGAGAGAGAGAGAGGTTGTTGTATAGTGAAGTGTTGTGAAGTAATAAATCTTTCCACCTTTATATAGAGCTATACATATACTACTATAGTCTCTCTCTCTCTATATATATTTTTTTGTATTTGTGTTGCTTTAGGTGTGGGTGAAATTAAGAGACTATATTTAGTGGTCTATTACTTATAAAGTAATTGTACATTACTATATGGTTATTTCTTTAAAAAAGAATTAATTATTATTGTAGTGTGTAACATCAAATTGTACCTTACCAAATTTTTTGTTAATAATTTTGGGAAGACTACATGAAAAAGGAGAGTATTAAGAACGGTATATTGTAAACTAAGTTATCATATTTCTATCTTTATGTTCTTTGTTTATGTTTATGTTGCGCAAATTATGTTGTGGACTCGTGTCCACAATGCATTATGCACACAAGTCCAAAACGACGTCGTTTTTAGGAAAAATGCGGCATTTTAGTTTTTAAAAAAATTGACTTTTTCTCGTCGTTAACGGCGTTATTTGTTTGTGGAGTTATGAATGTATAGTTATGAAATTATGAATGTACCGTTATGGAATTATGAATGTAAGTTATGAAATTATGAACACAGAGCTCTGACATTATGAACTTACAATTATGAACATACTGTGATAAAAATATGAACATAGAGCTCTAAAATTGTGAACATAGAGCTTCGAAAATTATGAATGTACAGTTATAGAATTATGAATGTACAGTTATGGAATTATGAGCACAGGGCTCTGACATTATAAACTTACAATATAAACATATAGTGATAAAATTATGAACATAGAGCTCTAAAAATGTGAACATAGAGCTTCGAAAATTATGAATTTATAGTTATTGAATTATGAATGTATAGTTACGGAATTATGAATGTACAATTATGGAAGTATGAATGTACAGTTATGGAATTATGAGCACAGAGCTTTGACATTATGAACTTACAATTATGAACATATAGTGATAAAATTATGAACATATACTCCTATAACGAAGCGGTCTGAAATTATTTTTTAAAAAAAAAAAAAAGGGGGGGGGGGGGGGGGGGGGGAGGGGGGGAAGATAACGGTGCCACTAACGGCACCGTTACCGTGTCCACAATACATGCTGGACACGGGTCCATAGCATAACGATTGTTTATGTTGGGCGTCGGCCGGGTTGGTTGAGTTCATGCCTCTGCTCGATTTAAGATGATTCGAGACGTAGCGTTGTAATTTACCAGAGAGGGATGTGGTTAAATGGTTAATGTTCACATACTTATCACCAATTGATTTTAAGTAGGATATGACAGCCAGATAGCCCAAAAACTACGTGGTTAAGTGTACTTGACTTACAATAGTCACAGGATGAGGCGAAGGCTAAGGACCGAGTCAACTGAGCTTGGTTTTTAAAAGTTGTGACAGCAGGTGCTGAAGGATTGTTGGGCGTCGACCGAGTTTGCTAAATTTAGGCTCTACTCGATTCGAGACGTAGCGGTGTTGTGACTTACTATGGGGGAATATACTAATTAAATAGTTAATGTTCATCTATTTATCACTTATTGATTTTAATTTAATTAGGATATGACAACCAAATAGTTAAAGAACTCTGTACTTAAGCGTGGATGGCTAATATCCATCAATTTATGTGTTATTATATGACTGAAAACTAAAATGATGTCTTACAATTAAGAATGCGCATTTGAAAGGATGGCGAAGTGTGTTTAGAGTGATATGTCTGCTCTAATTATAGTTTTAATTTTCCCCCATCTAGCAAAATAGTGTTGGAGCAATCCAATGCCCTACCGAAGTTTTGGGGTCTAATGAGAGCTATTTCAACTTCATTCGTTACTATTCAAACCACTCTAATTTTTTTTTACCATTCTCCAAACAATAGTTTAAAATGAATATAGAATAAGAAATTTCTATAGTGTCAATTGATTGAAGTAGTGGACCCTTAAAGAAAAAAGGCTTAATGAATTTCAAACGGCTACGCTAGCTAGGTCGCTAGCTATACCTCATTAAGATCATATTGACATACGGGAAAAAATGAGAGCAGATCCCATTGAAAACAAGAGTGAGGTACAATAAGGCTATGCCATTTACGTTTTTTGCACTTCTCATGGAGCCATACGTGAAGATTACCGTTCATATAAGCAAGTATCATCAACACGGAATAACTCCAGTATAATTGGTTTGACAATCAAATTTTCTTGTAAAAAGTAACATGATATCACGGGACTATCTAATTCACGTTAGGAAATGATCAAAGAAGTTTCCCAAGGGATCGGATATGATATCAATTCCAAGCAAAGGGAATGAAAGGCTCTTGTGTTGGAAGGATGTTTCCTAGGCACTTGAACATCACTTGTCTTTTCCTCAATCTCTTCATAATTTCTTAATGCCTAGGGCTAGGAGAAGGCCATCCCCAACATTTGAGGTCCATCATAGAAAAAGAACAACATTATACGGCTTTAATTATACTTTGTCCTTAAGTTTGGTCATCCACTTTCCTGCCATATACCAATAATCTCTCTATTTTTCTATTAGTGCAGCAGTAGATTGTGGAGATGCCTATGAGATCAAGTGGGGTGTGGGGTACTCCAAATTATGACATTTGTTGAGTGCTCTCATTGCATGCCTCCAAAAAAAAAAAAAAAAAAAAAAAAAAAAAAAAAAAACTCTAATTTTAGAGCTACAAGCAAAAACCCCCTTTTTTTTCCCCACTTCTTGTATTGTTGTATCACAATCTTGCCATAGACAAAATCAATGCTTCAATTATGATATATACAATTCACATGCATCAAACTTTTTAAAAAAATGGGAATCAAAACTATTTTTGATGTTATAGGAAAGACAATGGGTTAGGTAATATCGAGGACTTGACCTTCCTTTTATTCGGGTGGACAAAATAATTTATGTCACTAATTTGGATAGTAATGATGGGAAGTCTAATAGCTGATATATATAGTTTAAACTTTAAAGTATATTAAGCAAGTTTAGGGTATCTTGCGGTGATATCAAACTGGCTTGGAACATGTCTGAGTAATATTTATTTAGGTTGGGTAATTCTAAATGAATTTGAATTTGGATTCAAGAATGGCTAAACGAGTGTAACCTTATCCATTGTCATCCCTATATATGAGGGTTCATTGTGCAATTCGCTAACAAATTATACCTCTTTATCGGTTGTAGACTTAGATTCGAATCTTATCACTCTCATTCTCAAACATATATATTGAAGAAAAAAAACAATTAAATAACAATAATAATGAATTTTAAATAGGATAGCCCCACATGTATCAATTGTGTATAAACTATGATTTACATTGATATCATTATATATTATTCCTTTGAAATAACAATAGTTGAATGTTGGTGGAATTCTCTTCATCAAAACTCTGCATGCCTATTTTGATGACCCCACAAACCTCATAATTGATTTTATTCCAATCCACCCAAAGTTTAATCTTCTCTTGATTATATTGGCTATAATATGAAATACTTACTTTTTTGTTGATTGGTACGTGGAGAATAACAAATCTTCTATTGTCAATAGTCAATACTTGAACTCTTGCCTGCAAAACTTAAGGCAAAATTCATGACCACACGCGTTAAAAACTTATTAATGGTAAAAAATTATGATGGTGTAAAAGAATGGGATGTGTTTAAAAAAAAAAAAAAACATAGAAAATTGTATTACGCCCACCTAAGAATACTTACAAGATATTTTTTTTTTATCACTTTTTTTACATTTACTCCCCTTTTTACCCCAACTTTCCAAAAACTAAGAGCAAGATTATTGGTTTGAGATTTTTGTCCAAATATGATAGAAGAGAGAAAAATAATAATTAAAAAAAAAATAAGCAAAAAAACAGGCGTTTGCCGTGCACGCACCCGCTGGATAGCGTTGATGCCCGTAACACACAACAAAACCATTATTTTTTTTTTTAAGTTTCCCAAAAAATCCCAATAAAAAACTCAATTAGCAATAAAATTCCCATCTCTCCTCTCCTTTGCCTTAGACCTAAGAAAAAACCCAACAAAAGTTAAACCAATGGTGATGCTCTATGGGCAAATGACAGTTAGTTGAATTGGCTTTAAGAATACATATATACACCACAACCCCATTTAATTAGTTTCCTCTTTTTATATATATACTGTAATATTTTCAGCTTTATCTACCCAACAACTTGTATTATTCAATTCATGGATGTTTACTATATATATATTATAATGTATTGATAGGTGCCACACAAACACTTGATCACACACACTCTGAATTTATGATAAGAGCTATATAGATGTGCTCCAGAGTCCAGGCCACCATTTCTCTGTGCTGCATCATAAATAATCTGTCTGGGCAATATAATGTACTATACACAACTTAGTTGAGAAGTAGGTGAAGCACATTAAATGGCCTGGATAATGGTGTAGTGTATGTGTAATTGTTGAGAGATAGATTTTGGTAGTAAGAAGCTAGTAAATGGTTCAAATGTGGCAAAAAGTGGAATTATACAGTGAATTATTGAAGCCATTATTTCTTCCATGATCTAATTTTGTATGGGAACCCCCACCATGCATGTTGCTATCCATAAGATTATTAAAGATCAAAAAACTAACTTAAAAAGTAAAAATATATGGTTTGACTGATGGTTGGGTTGAAGAAGAGATGGGTGCAGAGGTAGGGGCTCACTTTTGGTGAAACAAGCCATGTCTAGCTTGAAGGCTTAAATTAGTCCACCTACTTTTATTTACTAGTTAAAGCTCAAACTTCATGAATATAATGGCTTTTGAGGTGGGGTGGCCAGGTATGTAGAAATTGGACATAATATAAATTTTTCATCAATAGGAGGGTAGAAATTAAATTCAACAAAACGCGTCTCTTCTCATCATAGAAACCTTAGAAATTAATGACATCCACTAAAATATTCAAAGTTCACTTAGCAATGAATCAACACACATTCAGCCCTAGCTTGGTCATGATCAAATGAGATATGATATTAGCAAGATAATTTCCTTCCTAACTCAATAGTTCCTTGCATGCATCTGAGAGATTTCAC